TCCTTCTCATGATAGCTCTCAGATGAAGAACCAGAGGTCCAGAAGCCTAAGTAACTTGGTCAAAATCCCAGAGCTGATAAATGGGCAGGATGGGGATTTGAACCCAGGGAGTCTGGCTGTAGACGTCCCAGTCTTACGCAGGGGCCATGCTAATCTTCTCTGTATTGTCCTAATTTTAGTGTATGTGCTGCTGAATCGAGGACAGAAGTCACATTCTTAAGTACTGTGCTAGTAGTCTGCCTTCTCCGTAGAGCTCCTTTCAAGTGTAACCTGAACAATACATAGAATATTATTATTCAGTTATGTGGCATTAAGTCATTTAATAAATTAATAAAGGCATGCTAGGACTAATGAAAATACCTTTATTGCCATAATCTTGTTTTCAGAAAGCAAGGTGGTGTCTTTTTAACTTTTTCCATCTTATAAATGATATATTTTCTTCATGTTTTTCTTTTTCCAGTTAATCCTTCCACAACACTGCAGGAAACATAGTTTTAAGTTTTCCCTTACTGTTGTGAGTAGTATGCCCTACCTATAGTTTTATAATAGATGTTTTATGACTTTAAAGACCTGTCATGGGAGCATGCTTGGGAAAGCCTGCAAGATGAGTTAGCCGCATCAGCCCTAACTTTATCAGATTGTTTACTGGTTGATTCAAAGGCCTCACGTCACTGCTCCCTTTTTGCACCTTGGTGGTGATCATATTTCTAGGTCAGGAGATCATGGATGATTTTCTGAGAATGTAATTATGTGGTGACTGACTTTCTTTTTTTTCTATTTTGCAGGAAGATCTGTTTCAGCAGCCAGGCCTGAGGTCGGAATTTGAGCATATCAGGGACTGTTTGGATACTGGAATGATTGAAACCCTCTGTATCCTCAGACATTTGTGCATGTGTGTGTGCGTGTGTATGTGAATATGATTAAGAGATGAGAGGAAAAAAAGAGTATTATTTTAAGGCTCAAAATCAGATCTTGTGTCCTCAGCTATCATATTTTTTCTTACTTAAAGTTTGCATAGAGAAGACTTTACAACTTTAAGCAACCAATATAGCAGGAACTCAGGAGGGCCCAGCTAGGCTGATAAACAGCTTGGCCCCTTCACCACGTCAGGCTGGCATCCCAGCTCTGAGCAGAGCCGTACTGGGCAGGCGGCATGTCTGACATGTGCTCCCTCCTGGGCCTTTTCCTAACTGCGGCACGGCATCGCCAGTTCCTTAACAATGGGCCAAAAGCCGCCAGCAATCATTCTGTAGCTGAAGCCTTGCTGCTTTTCCTGGAGAGCCTGCCAGAGCCCGTCATCTGCTACAACACCTACCATAACTGCTTGGAGTGTTCTGGCAACTACACTGCGAGTAAACAGGTGAGGGTACTCGCAGTACCTGCGAGTAAAAAAACGTTGAGCATTCATATGTTGCAGCCCCAGGCCTCCTGGGGCCTGAGGGAACAAAGTGGGCGCAGTCTCTCAAATGCAGTGTCCTAGCAACTCAACTCCATAGCTTTCCTTCCCAAACCTGTTCTTCCTCTCATGTCCCCTTTTCTTTTCATGGCTTCACCCTGAATTCCAGTGACTCAACCCAGAAACCTGAGTCATTTCTGAGTTGTCCTCTGCTCACCTCCCACATGCCCAGTTCCCTTGATCTGTCACCCATCTTCCATTCTCGTCCACTCACCTTGGTTCTAAGCCCTGCATTCAGGCTTTCCCCCTGCTCATTTGTTTTGTATACTGCCATCAGACCACATACTCTAAAACTCTCATCACTCTTGTCACTGTTGGTCAAAAACCACACCTGGCTCTCCATTTGCCAATTAATGATTTTCTTAAACAAATGTTTAAGACTTTTAACCATCTGGCCTAATAGTTCACACATTAACAGGCCATAGCAGAATAATCTAGAAAACTTGCTAGTAATATAGGTTCCAGAGCCTCACCCCACAGCCACTGAATCAGAATCTCTTTTGGAATATATCTTGTACAAGCTTCCCATGTGATAATGATGATACGCAGATAGCTGGAGTACTCATTGAATTCTAGCCTGATCGACCCCTCCAGGCTCAGCACCTGTTCAGGCAGGGGCACTCCTGCTAAAATTGACTTCTCAGTGTGTTCTCTCTCCTCATCTCACTGTTTTCCCTCTCTTACCTTTTTTGCACTTTCTTTTGCCCTAAACGCCCTAGTCCTTACCTCTGCAAGTCCAGTCTTGTCTTATATTCAAGACCCAGCTTAAAATGTCTTCTATTGCTGTAAACCTTTTGAGAACACATAGTTAGGCTATTGAGCTCTAAATTCACATAGCGCTTGATCTGTGCTTCTCTTTTGACACTTGTGCCAAGTGGTAAGTGATCAGGGTTTCCCGTGCGCAGTCTTACTCATGCCCTTGGATCACGTACTTGGCTCCTGGAATATAGCAGATGTCTGACAAAGGATTGAATGAATGAATGAAAAGACAAATGCCGATTCTCCCTCTTTCAGGTCATTTCTACCCTCCCTACATTCCACCAAAATGTCTTCAACTACTTGATGACGTTTCTGCGAGAACTGCTGAAAAATTCAACAAAAAATCATTTGGATGAGAATATTCTAGGTAAGCAGTCAAGTGTCTGTGGAAAGCATCTCTGCATACTGAGAGACTCATTATGAGAAATGTGCTTGAGGAAGGTCCCAAGATCACTGTAGTGGAACTAAAATCTCCAGCTCTGGGCCAAGTTTACCCTCACATAGTTTTTTTCAAGCAGAAAATAATGCTTTGGGGCACTCCTCCCAACTCAACCGTACCAGAATAAGTAGTGTTTCTTTTGCTGAATCATTTGTCTTCTGTGTTTCTCATGCAGCTAGCATATTTGGCAGCTTACTGCTTCGAAACCCAGCTGGTCACCAAAAGCTTGACATGGCAGAGAAGAAGAAGGCTCAAGAATTTATTCACCTATTCCTCTGCAACTCACCCTGAGCCTATCTCCTCTCCTATTTTACTCGAGGCAGCCAATTACCAACCCCACCTGTTTAGGATCAAGAACTACCACAAGAAGACGTGAGGCCTCTTGGAAGCAAAAGTGGCAGCTGCCTGTTTCCTGAGCCCTGACACCCTCCCCCCCCCCCTCACTATGGCTGTCACAGTCCCGTCACTCTGAGTTCTGAAGACCTGGGGGAAATCCGCCACAATAAAACTGACAGTCAATGTTCAACTTTAGTTATTTAACACAGGTCTCTCTAGTTTTTTAAACTTTAAAGATGTTTAAATAACTGTATTTCCTGTGCTCACTCAGCGTGCCTCCTGGGCATAGTCAGTGCCTTCCCTGTAGCCTGGACTGGGCTTCCCATGACCAGATATTTGAACAAACTTTGGGGTCCTAAAGGGAGAATGAATTGGACAGCAAGAATGCAAGTGGAATCTGTTGGATAAACAGGTCACAGCCACCCCAGATGTTTCCAGTGCTCTAAGGACATGTGTATATATATATACAAACCCTACCCCCTTTCCTACTCAGATGTGGCTCAACAACTCTGGGGCTGGCCACTCAGCCTCTGAGGGCAATACAGTGGCTTGAAAATGAAGGTACCGAAGAAAGTGGTGTTTGGTGAAACAAATGGGATTTTCTGGGTCAACAAATCCTCCGAACTGTATATGATGCATCCCCTCTCTCATATATGTAATATATTTTAATGATAAATGTATTTTTAACAGTGGTTGTTCGTATGTTTTTCTCTCTTAAGGGATGGCTGCTGGACTCTTTGTGGCTTAAGCATTGGAGCAGGCGGTCAGGGGCCAAAGAGGTAGTTGCCTGGCAGTCTGGTGGGTAACAATCACTATTCATAGTTTTCACGCAAGAAATGTACAGGCATGGCCTGAACGCCTTGACCCAGATCTAGTCTCTGGGAGTCGTCCCACTCTGAATATTATAGAGAAGTAGCTTATGGGAAAATCAGGCAGTGGCTGCTGGGAGGTTCTAACAGATTTAACGGGCATTTAAAAAAGACGGAGAGGGGCGCCTGGGTGGCACAGTTGGTTGAACATCCGACTCTTGGTTTCGGCTCAGGTCGTGATCTCAGGGTCATGGGATAGAGCCCCACATCCAGCTCCTCACTCCTCGCTCACGGCGGAGTCCGCTTGAGATTCTCGTCCTCTCCCTCTGCCCCTCCCACTCATGTTCTCTCTAAATAAATCTTAGAAAATAAGGAAGGCACGTGCAAAGTCGCTTCTTGGGCACTGGGACACCAACATTCCTTGGCAGTGTGAAATGTGACTCAGATGCGGGCTGATAGGATGACAGCGTGACCGGTCAAAAAAAAAAAAAGAAAAAAAAGAAAAAGAATGGCAAATAGGTGGCGCTGACTGGCCCGGGCGGGAGTCCCGTGGAAGCCGGCAGTCCTCTGCAGGGGGAAAAGTTGGAACCGACAGCCTGGGCAGAAATGAGAGGGAAGCAGCGGGGCCTCTTGTGATAGCTAGTGGGGGTTGGGGGAGGCGGCGGCGTCCTCTGACTGGCCTTGGTTCTGCCATTTGGATCCCATCTTCCTTTCTTGACCCCACTGGTACGTTAACTTTGGTTGGTCCCAGCTTCCCCTCAACACCAGAGGGCGAAAGCCGGGAAGGTCATAGCCTTGCAGGCTCCCCTTAAGGGTCCGAGCTGGAATTCGGATGGCTAACTGGGGTCCTTCCCGTTGCAGTTGTGGCTGCCAGGGCGAGGGCGGCCGGCGCAAGCCGGGCTGAGGCTACTTTCGACTAGTTGGGGAGGTTCGACCCCCTTTCCTTGCCTCTGGCGCCAAAAGGCTGACGCCCCAACAACCGGTCGACTGCGGACGCGGCGGGCACTTCCCAGCGCGGGACGAACTTACGGCCCCGCGGCGTCTCCGCGGCACCCCGCCCCGCCCCGCCCCTCCTGCTCGCCAATTGGAGGCTCGAGCTCAGCCCCCACATCGCCTAAACCAACTAGAAGCGCCAGGGAGAGGCGGGGCCGGTATCTCCTCCTTCCTCCGGAAAGCGGAAGCGGAAGTGACGTTCGGGGAAGGTGGGGGCAATCATGGTGCCGCTGGGGAGGGGAGAAGCTGCCGCTGCCGCCGTTGCCGGGAGCCGCGGAGGTAAAAGGCGAAACTAGACGCGGCCTGGGCTGGGGGCTTCCCGGGGGGCGCGGGACTTAGGCTCCCTCCTGAAGCATTTCCCATTAGAGACCCCAGTCTGGTCACCATAGGGACCCCACCCCTCCTCCGTTTCCATGGGGATGGGTATCCAGCCCCCCTTCCCTGTTTCCATGGAGACCTGGACCCTGCCCCTCTTCGCCCGGCTTGGAGCCCCCCAGCCTGTCTTCAGATTTTTCTCTGTGGCCCCGTCTGGGGGCTATCCCAGTCAGGTTCCTTTTCTCAGCCTTCTCTCAGGGGTGCTCCGTTTGTACTCCTCGTATGCCACCCTCAAGCCTCCTGGTCTTGTTTGTTCCGGACAGTTGGTCTCCGCTTAGCTGCTGATGGTGCCGGGGAAGCCCTGTGGGGCCTCCGGTGCTCTTATCTCTCCTCAGATGCAGCGAAATGTGCATCTACCGGGTTGCGTAAGCCAGAGCAAGGGGTCGGGCAGGTTCCTCCCGGATCTGATCCCTTGGCCTGTCTCTGCTAAACACTTCTCTGTCTAGCCGCCCCACTATGTAAAGGTTCACTTGCTAACCCAGGGCAGAAGAGAAAAAGTGCAAAGCCAGACTGAAAACTAAAAGTGATGTGCTGATTATTTTTAAATTCTGTTCTGCCTGCCAGACCCACATTTGTAGAACCTGTGTGTTTGCAACTAAAGGAAGAAGAACGAATCCAGAACAGGAAAGTTTCAAATTTGGTATTTTTTCCAAGAGAACATATCTTTCCAAGAGAGTATGTCTTCCCAAGAGAGTATATCTGCAGCTCTTTCATTCATTTAGCTGACATCTCCTGAACTCTTAGTGTCTTTGTATTGTGCTAGGGGCAGTAGAAACAAAAATAAGATTCACTATTTCCTCACTGCAGAGAGCACACTATACAAGCATAGGTTCTAGTGGACACCACATTGTTTTAGAAGATTAATGGACATAATGATCTTCATTGAATATGCCTGACTAGGGATCAGCCCCCCTACCCAGAAGCTGAAACGTCTGTTTTAGGAAGGAGGGAATGAATTCATACTTGTTTTCCCTATTATTCTCAGACATTGTGCCTTAACATATATTATCTCTTTTACTCTGAGTAACAACTTTGAGAGAAGGAACTACCAGTCCCCCTTACCCATAAGAAAAATGGGGTACAGAAAAGTTACCCAAGTAGGAAGTGGCAAAGCTGGGATTTGTGGGTAGGTGACCCTGCTTCCAAAGTTCAATTTCCACAATAGACTACGCTGCCCCCATGATCTAATCTGGGGGATATGTGACTGGGGTTTTCTTACTCTAAGACTTAAAACAACTCAGCCTTGAAGTAGTTTGCCCTTTTATCCCCTTTAGGAATTGTTTGGTAGTAACACATGTTTGGAAGGTCTTAAGAACTGCTACTTATTTCTTCAGTTTTTTTTTTTTTTTTTCTTTTTAAGACATTGCTTTTCCTGGGGCGCCTGGGTGGCTCAGTCGTTAAGCGTCTGCCTTCAGCTCAAGTCATGGTCCTGGGGTCCTGGGATCGAGCCCCGCATCGGGCTCCCTGCTCAGCGGGAAGCCTGCTTCTCCCTCTCCCACTCCCCCTGCTTGTGCTTCCTCTCTCGCTGTGTCTCTCTTTGTTGGGTAAATAAATAAAATCTTAAAAAAATAAAATAAAATAAAGACATTGCTTTTCCTTTAAAATGACTTGATGGTTTCAAAGTTAAACTTCAAAAAATATTCCCAAGGAAGATGATTTTCATTTACTTTGGCCTATTCTTCAAGTGAGAGGAAAAATGAGCCCTGTGGTTGCTGAGGAGGTCCCTGGGTTTGATTCTAACTCTGGCTTTGTCCTGTTGCAGACAGGTCATTACCTTTCCATTTCTCACAATTGGGCTGAGCACGATTGAACCATGGGGGAACACAGTCCAGACGACAACATCATCTACTTTGAGGCAGAGGAAGATGAGCTGACCCCCGATGACAAGATGCTCAGGTTTGTGGATAAAAACGGACTGGTGCCTTCCTCATCTGGAACTGTTTATGATAGGACAACTGTTCTTATTGAGCAGGACCCTGGCACTTTGGAGGATGAAGATGACGATGGACAGTGTGGCGAACACTTGCCTTTTCTAGTAGGGGGTGAAGAAGGCTTTCACCTAATAGATCATGAAGCAATGTCCCAGGGTTATGTGCAACACATTATCTCACCAGATCAGATTCATTTAACAATAAACCCTGGTTCCACGCCCATGCCAAGAAATATCGAAGGTGCAACTCTCACTCTGCAGTCGGAATGTCCAGAAACGAAACGTAAAGAAGTAAGTAAAGCAGTGGGTGAGGGCCCAGTCTAGCTTTGGAAAAAAGTCCTTACATAACTTGTGTTGGCAGTTTTAGCTGGGGAATAAAGGAGTTCCTGGAATGAGGACCTACAGTGGCTTTGCTTGTCAACAACACATATGCTTCACATTTTGTTATGACTGCTTTCTGGAAGTTTTAGTTTGTATGGCCACATTGAAATTTGGGAAAGCTGAATTCTAGTGTTTCAAATTTTCCTCCCCAAGTCATAAATAAAATAGAAATTTCACTGAGGTAAGTCCATGTTTTGATGCTGAAATAACTAGATTTGGCTTATTCTTGGGTGTCGATAAATAATTTGTTTTGGAGATGAGTATCTTCTAGAATATGTTTTATTTTCATAGTGAATATTTGATGAATAATAAGGCCTTGCTTTCTCTCATAAGAAATTCAGGCAAGAGACAGTAAATGAGAGCAGGTTATCTAAAATAAGTGTTCATGCTCATACTTAGCTACTGTGAGTAAGGTAATGTATGTCACGATGGTTGGAAAACCGTAAAGCATTGTACAAATTGTACTGGTGTGGTGATCATTAGCAGAATGAAAGATACGGTTTAAAGGTAGTGATAGACATTATCTAGAACTGATTACAGGTCCATTAGAAAAAACAGATCACTGGTAGTCGCCATGTCAGGGACTAAATGTAAAATGTTACCAAACATAGGGTAAATGATTTAGCAAAATAGTTTTCTCTTGTGCTGTAATTAAGGTCTTGGAATTGGAGAATTTTATTATTTGTGCCATATGGCTTTTCCACTGCTAGCCGTAGAATCTCAGAGCTGGAAGCAACCAGAGAGAAACCATCTCGTCCTACCTCCCACTTCAGGCAGGAATCTCTCTATGGCATCTCTGACATGAGTTCATCTGGTCTCTGCTTGAACACTTGCAGAATGACGAGAGCACAGTGTTTCACCACTCAGCCTCATACATTTGTTGGCCAGCTCTGATTGTTAGAAAGCTTTTACTTGTATAGAGCCAAAAACCTGCCTTCCAGCAGCTGCTGCCCACCGGTTCTGCCTTCCTGAACAATAGCAAGTTAAACCTTCCTCTGACAGGACAACAGATATTTAAAGATCATGGCTTTCTCTTTATCTTCTCTTGTACAGGCTAACCACCTTGATTTACTTAAATATTCCTCTGTGACATTCTTCGCTAGTTTCTCATCAGTCTGATCACCTTGAATCATATGAATTCCAGTTATCCAAAGTCTTCTTAAAATTCACAGTGGAGCACAGTCTCCCAAGAGTGAGGCAACCAGCACTGAATACTGTGCGACTCTTATCTCTTAATGTGGACACTATACGACAATTGCTGTATGGTTTGTATTTTATTAGCAGTGACATCATACTTACTCTTAGCTTGTACTTGGAAATCTCTAGAATAGTGATTCTTAATTGGGGCAGTTTTGTTCCCCATAAGGTATTTAATAACGTGTGGAGACATTTTTGGTCGTCACACTGGGGAAGTGCTGCTGGAATCCAGTGGGTGGAGGCCAGTGATCCTATTAAACCTTCAGCAATGTACAGGACAGCTTCCTGCAACAAAGAATGATCTGGCCCAAAATGTTGATTGGCTGTTATCCAGTAAAACTTTATTTACAAAACAGGCAGTGGGCTAGATTTGGCCCACTGGCTAGAGTGTGCCTACTCCTGGACTAGAACATAGGGAGCTTAGAGGGTAGTTGAAAATAAGGATGGAAAGGTAGCAGAGATGCAGACATGGAAGGCAGTGATAACATGCTCAGGGGTTTGGACTGTATTCTGGAAATAGTGGGAAACCATTGAAGGTGTCTGAGCCAAGGAGTGATGTGGTTAGGGTAGCATTTTAGAAATATTGCTCTGGTAGCAGTGGTAGCTTGATTGCCCAATTAGGTAGTTGTAGTTTAGATCTGGGGTTTTATTTGAGTCTGATGAAGGATAATGGCCTTGTAAAGTAGAAAGAATCCAGAGCTTTTGTTGAAGTATAAGAGAACCTCATCTGTTACTGGCATTCGAAGAATGAGCCATGAATTGGGTATGATTCAAAGGATTCATCCATTTTTCCAAGTATGTCGGGTTTCTTCTCTGTCTTAGCTAAGGGGCTGCACAGAGGATAAATGGAGACTAGGAAGCATGTTGAGTAGTTAGAGTAAACCATGATAGGTACTTTATCAGAGGCCTGTTCAGACTGCTGTGTCAGGCTGAGGAGAAAGCAGTGGACTCTGCTGTTCGCCTCATCGTCTGGGAATGGTGAGTTCATAAGAGGAATCAGGAAGAGGAGAAAGTTTGGGGGGGCAGCTGATGAGCTTCTTTGGAGTATAGTGAATGAAGAGTCCTTGAGGAAAAGTAAAGTGAACAAGTTGAGAAGCCCATTGGAAATGTGGATCTGAAGTCAAGCGACTGGCTCAGGATTCACGAAGGGTTCAGACCATGGGCAGTTCACTCAAGGGAGGAGTCAGAGTTGGACTGCGAATGTAAAGGCTAAAAAGATAAAGAGGAACCAAAGATCACATAGTGAAAGAGATGAGTGAAATACGGTGTTGTGGCAGGTGAGGACCAAGTGTCAGGGAGTGTGACTGTTCCTCTGTGACCCTGCAGAGGGATTGAGGGGCCAAAGAGAAGCCATTGGTTCTGCCCTCTGTCCACTGATCACACCATGAGAAGACTTTCTATAGAGCACTGGGGGCCAGAGCCAGATTTCCAGTGATGGAGAAGTGAGTGGGTGGTGAGGAAACCGGAGGCAGGAAGTGTCAAGTTGTGTGTGTGTGTGTGTGTGTGTTTACTATGGTACTTGGAGGAAGAGCGATGAGGTGGTAGTAGCAACTCAAGGGGGTGGAATCACTTCTTTAGCACAGAAAATGTGAACCTGGCTTAGAGCCTAAACTTTAAGCCATCCTCAGTTAATGATTACTATGTGAAAGTGCTTTGAGAGCAACTGTTTGGGAAACATTAAGTTGAATCGAGACAGAGGCTTATTACAGAATTTTTCAGAGCTTTTGATGTGTTAATAACTGCAAAGGAAGGAAATGCAGACTTCTCTAAATACTTTGAACTTGGGAAACCATTTTCAGGTGTCATTTCTAGGATTGGTATTTTGTGGAACACATTTTGGGAAATGCTGATCTAGGCAGGAAAGGAGATGGTAGGGAAGGAATGATATTATGCAATCACTTATATGAGCTGTCGCTTTCCCACTCCGGGCTCCAGATCTTCCTTGACTCATGGTGCGGTTATGTCTCGATAAACCCATCAGAAGTTGAAAATGTCATGGAAAGTACATTGAAGACACCTGACCTATCAATCTCGTAGCTTAGCCTAGCCTGCCTTAGATGTGCTCAGAACTCTTACATTAGCCTGTAGTTGGGCAAAATCATCTAACACAGAGCCAGTTTTGTAATAAAGTGTTGACCAGCTTATGTAATTAATTGAATACTATGCTGAAAGTGACAAACAGAATGGTTGTATTGGTACAGAATGGCTAGAAGTATATCGGTTGTTTACCCTCCTGATGATGGGGCTGACTGGGAGCCGTGGCTCGCTGCTAGGGAAGAGATCCAAATTCAGAATTTGAAGTACAGTTTCTCCTGGTTGTGTATCACTTCCTCACCACTGTACGGTCGAACCGTCATAAGTTGGGGACTATACTTGGAAGCCTAGTTTACCATTCATGGCTTCAGGTCTTGATCATGTTGAGTAGATAAGGTGAAGAGTACTGTGAACACCTTGTTCAATCTACTATGGATTTGGCTCACTGTACTTTCATCCCACCGTATCTTTCTAGTCTATCCATGAACGTACATGGAAGATTCTAGAAACTTTAAAAAAAATCAGAGTGGAGTTTGTTGGAGACTGAGGGCAAAGCATTCAGTGGCTTTTAGTCTTTGAAAATGTTGCTTAATGACCTGGCATTGCCCTCCTGAGGCACCATCTTAACCTTAGCTTTTGCTTTAACAGTGATTGGGGTGGGGGTGGGGGGCACTTAAATCCATTTAATTGGCCTGAAGAGGCCAGACTGATAATTTCATGATTTCTGTACCCCCACTTTTCCCTCTTTTTGAAAACCTGGTCTTTTCCCTCCATCTCCGTGTCCAGGTGTTACTCTTGAGAAATCAAATCATTTGATAACTAGTTAGTCTTCTTGGCTTCCCAAGTAGTTTATTTTCTGAGTCAGATTTTAGCCCGATTTTCCTGTTTACCCTTGATTGTTCTATTGTTTCCTATAGTGTGTAGTTGGCTTACCTGTTACTTCACTTTTTTCCCTTTTGCTTGTCTTGCGTAAAAATAAACCAACCAGAACCTTGCTACAGATACTGTCTTCTCCTCCTTTCCACAGGCCCACTGGTCATTCTGACTCTAATTTCATGTATCTTATTCTCATACTTGCTGTCTTACCACCATCCTCCTGCTAATCTCCAATCAAAATATGTCCTTCTATACAAGTCAGCATTCTAAAGGGGGTTGCTCCTTTAATGCCCTGCTCTGGGCTTCTGAGCAGCTGTGTTTCCCTTAGTTGGTTCATGTAGCCCATGATATCCCAAACTTTCTTGCATCCATCCCTTCCTGAGAACCTGCCAGAACTGTCTAGTTACCTGTTCATCCACCTCTGTGTGAACCACACTGGTGAACATAATGTACCCCCTGTAGCTAACTGACTTTGCCACTTTTCTGCTCAGTAATTGGCCAGGAAGTATGAAGAAAGCCAGGAATCCCATACCAAATATGTTCTTCATGATGCACCAAAGTATTCCAGTGCGTTGATTGGAAAAGAATATCTTTTTTTTTTTTTCTACCAAGAAGCACAGTTACAGAGATGCTTTGTGAATTAGGCTGCTTGCTATTATTAGTCAGTGACACTCCAAGAGGAGTTTTGTGGGGTTTTTCCCCTTAGTATTAGAAACTTTAAGTATAAGAATAAAGGGAAAAATTTGACTCTAGTGTTTTGCAATACGTCCTTTACTTTGGGAGACCTAGTTCCAGTTTCATTC